CATCACACCTTAACCACATCCCACACACACACCTACATATATACCCATGCTCCATACAAAGCTCAAACTCTCTCCGTATCCAACCACAGTCCACACCCACATTCCCACTCTACCCGCACTCTCTTGTTAAGATCTGGATGAGAGTTGGTGAGAGTGACCTCATCAAAATGATATTTGGTTCTTTTGTCTAAGCTTGGTTGAAGAAAATGGGTCAGAGTAGGGTCTCATGAATAGGGGTGGGAAGTTACCGTTACCGAGTAACGGGACCGTTACGAGTTACTTTTTCCGGGTAACTTCTCTAGAAAGATGAATTATTACTTCCCATCAACAGGATTTTGCAACTACGTTATTTTTTAAGTTGACCCGTTCCCAGGTAACTGGTAACGGGCAATAGTTACCAGGGTAACTGGTAACTCCAAATTTTTTTTACTGGTGTATTGTCAATATTCGGTCTAATAGAAGTGATATATAGTCTTTTTAAAAAGTTACCAGGAAAAAGTAACTGGTAACTCCTTCCATAGGAACCGTTACCGTTACCGTTACCGGGTAACGGTCTGGGAACGGTAACTGCCGACCCCTACTCATGAATCAACAATTTTGTGCTCTATGCATAGATAATATCTTTGAATGAAACAGCGTTCATAGTGAGCGAGAGTGGGTGAGATCGTATTTTACTAATATCCTGTCAGTTCGCATTTTTGAGTGAAAAGTTCAGTTATCCATCTCAGAAATGTATTTGAAAGGATAACAAATACAATATATCTGAATTTTGACATTTTTTTTCTAAAGTAGCTGATGAAAATAAATAAAAGCGTTTTTAGAATCAACTTCTACTACATTGAACGACCTAACTAACAGATGATGCACAAAAAGAGTTGACGAAATCGAACTCTATTCTTATCGAACGTCACGTACGAGACGGATGTGCTTTCTATGATTTACCAAGAAAGAGCTATATTCAAATATTTATTTATGAAAACGTACCCGTAACAAGTTCGTTTTTTCAAATAATATAAATGTTTCTTTTTTGCTTTTTGATTGCGTTGAGATATGGTGAAGAAAAGAAAAATGAGATGGGAGAGATCTTCAGTGCAGAAAGAATTTGCTGAGAGCGGGTAAAATGCATATCAAATTTTTTTAAAGCAAGAGGTCCACACTTTATTTCATTCTATGATCCTTTTTCTTCAATAAAAAGAATGGGTCTTGCTGGGAAAAAATGAAAATTTGTATAAAGCGGGATACAAATACACATTCTCTACGTTATGCTAAGTTTCTGTGTTTAACTTGAGATAAGATCAAATGATAAAACAATATGACAACTTTTTATGACTCATTATAATAGCTAGAGAATGAAAAGAAAGAGCTTTCAAATATGTATGCCTTCATAGTTGAATTGGTTTTTATGAAATTTAAATGCTGTGAGTGTAGTTCAAGAAATGAGTCTCACTGATGACCACATAGATACCTGCATCTGTTGTTTTTTTCTTTCAATCTGTATAGATAGTTGCATTTTTTGTGGGTGGGTGTGAGTGTGGGTGTGGGTATGGAAGTGGGAGTTGACGGGACGAACATGTACACCCACGCCATGTTAGATTTATTCAAAGGCATCAGAAGTAAAAAACCTTTAATCTTTGCAATGCTAGAATGTTGTAGCAGACTGCTCACTTTCTAAATAGCAACACTCAATGAATTATGCCATTTTCCCCAGGATATCGTAGCAGTAAGTTTGATAAGCGACATTCAGCAATTATCTCTTTGCATTTAACAGTAATATAGGCAAACACAAGTGTTTGAAATCAACTGGCTTGTCTTTTTCCGAATAGAAAATTATTATGATGATTGTATCCTTTTATCTTTTTTGTGGCAGCTTCCAGTTTAAAAGTTTGATTTCATTGATTAGCAAAGCAAACCTTTTCTCAGCAAAAGTCTCTCAAGCTAGAAAAGCTGGAAAAGAAAATCAATGCACGTAGTAAATATATATTTTCCTCACTAACGATTGGTTATTTTTATTTCTCGCAATGAAGTTCGTGACGATATCTGGGTGCATCGATCCTTCTGTTCGATTTGTTTCTGAGAAAAATGCTATCGAGTTTCCTTATTTATATTTCTGCACACAACCGATGAGCTGTTTCAAATATTGCTTACCGTCTGTCTTTTGCATTCAACATGTTGATATAAAATATAAGTTATCGGGTTCTAGAGCTTTCTCTGAGTGATACTATCGGTACCTATGTCGCTGCACGGATAGTAGAGATAATAATCGTAGAATATTTTATAGGAAAAGGTAGAAGGCTCTCTGGTCATAAATGATAGTGATTAAAGAATCAAGTAATGAGTTGAGAGTAGTGCTGAGGAAGATCAATGATCAGCGATTTAAAAAAGCGATATAGAGAATTTTTAGAACTGAATCGTTAGAAGGCTGAAACAAATACCCTATATACTGCCTAAACTTCTTTTGAAAGCAGCAGTTCAAAAAAATATGTCGAATTTTCTCGCCTCTGTATATCGGTAAGTTTCACGCAATACCTACCAATGATAACCTGGCTGTTACGGTTGATACCTATAACTACTGCTGATTAAAGTTAATTCTCTTCGTTTTTCCGAGTAAATAGACACAACTATGTCAACTATTCTAATACTTTTTTTTGTCTAATTCATTTAACGTCTAAATTACATCTGATTCACTGAGTAAATAATCCTTTTCCCAGAATCTTTTCTGGAATGGGATAAAAGCTGACCGACAAATCATACTTCGTCATTTTCCAGGATAAATTTATGCTATGTTTCCTTTACAATGAAAGCATCGATGAATGTTTTGTTTGCACCGCTTGCTTTCACTCAAGTGACGCTTGGAAGAAAAGTGTTGATTTTGCAGCTCAATTATTTGCGCATTAGGGATCGACTCCAAGAAAAGGAAACAAAAGTCGCTACACATTCTGAAAGAAAACTACTAGACCTTAAGTCTTATTTATTCTTTGTTCTTCCCGAACAAAGAGTGATTCCATAGGTTGTAATAATAAAAAATATGTTTCTATTCATACGGTGGCGCAAATAAAGTTATTCTAGAAGAGACACAATTATAGTTGCGAGCAAATAGTGTGCGTTTTTTAAAAATACTTCGCATGATTGCTTGCTCCTTGAAATGAGAATGAGAAAAAGATTTAAGCATGTTCATCTAGCGAGCAAGACAGAAAAAAGGATTTTAATTACAACAGATTGCGATAGCTACATTAAGTAGTTATGTCTCTATTACTTCCTAGTCTAAATTATGCGATTAATTGATGAGCATTCTGTCTCCATCTTTCTCTCACAAGGAGTATACATGTGCATGTAGTATATTTGAATAGCTGCTTTCTCTTGCGTAAATAGTGCGTTAAAAAATCTATCAACTCAACACTTCGTTGACCGATAGCAGTTAGGTTTTTTATATTTGTAAAAAAAAGCCATACAGCGTTAATAGTCAGACGAACCAATCACTCTCATTAATAATTTTTTGGGGCTCTAAGGCTATCATAAAATCAATCTTTTATGCTATATAGAATAGCAAAGCAATAATGAAAACACAGCATCTTGTCAATAACGCAAACATGCTCGTCTCTCGATTTATATTTTTTGAAGATATCTCTATGCAAAATCCGCAGAATTGAATACGAGTCGTATAAAGTTTTGAGTATAGCTTTATCACTTAGCGAGTTCCAATTACTACGTCAAAGGCACATAATTAAGAAAAGAAAGAGAAAATATGGCAATTGCTGTCCAACAGCGAAAGTAAAAATACATAGTTGCCTGTCGCTATATGTTAGATAAGATCATTCCAGCCATTCGAAGTTACTTTCTGGTAGGAAAGCCACTGAAGGATGTGGGTTTAGGTGTGGGTGTGAGTGTGTATGGGTGTGGATGTCAGTACGTACGCATGGGTGAGAATGTGGATGTGTTTGTGCGTCGTCTCCTAATCAGCATCCCCCCCCCCCCACGCACACACCCACTCACCCTTTGAGAACAATTTTTTCCTCCTAGGAAATAAATTATAATTCCAAGAATTTATCAGAAAAAAAGTTATAGTATCAATTGACATTAAGAGAATTCTTATGAGAAAAAATATCTTTTATTATTGATTGAATTGTTTGGATGCATCTGTTGCTTTGGCCTCTTGGTTTATTGGTGCCAGTTTGACGAAGGGAATCTTGTCGGAATACTCTAAATGATAATAAAAAATTAAAAAGAGACCATTAAAAAATTGAAAACATAGAGAAAATAAGAGAAACGAACTCTTGGGCATAAATGGTTTGAGAATCTCTGGTATGAGAATACCGTCTTCAGTTTGGTAATTTTCAAGTTTAGTACTAATTGTTCGTGTCGTTGCATACATCGTCGCATTGAGCATGTGAACATATTCTACCTAGAATCGAAAAAAGAAAGAGAGCAATGAATTTTAGAAAATAATTAATAATATACTCCTTCATTGAGTTTTTTCGTTTGACTATAACGAATTTTAAGTCGTCGCGATTAATAATCAAGGCAATTTGAACAGGAGACAAGTTCACAGAATTTACCTGAACCTGGAAACCATGCTTCTAAATCAAATTGTTTCGATGCTGCATCACTCAATTTACCTATTTATGATTTTAAAAAAAAGATGTCATTTTTATTCTATTATTAAACTTTCACTTCTACTTACCGAAAACAATATTGACAATACGATAAGGAATACCTAATAATTTATTAAATTCTTCAGCATTACCAATCATTTCTTCGAACACTTGCCACGATTGATTACCATGTGGAGAACTGATGCAAAATTGTTCAATCTTGAAATATGATTAATACACATATGATTATTTTAAAAACATTGAATAAATACTGACCTTTTCAAATTGATATAAACGAAAAATGCCACATGTATCAAGATCGCAAGAGCCAGTTTCTTGACGAAGACATGAAGAAATTTCACAATAACGAATTGGCAATTGTTTGGATTCAAGCCATTCATCACTACAACAACATATTTCAAAAGACTATTTGAACTAAAGAAAATCTATCGTAAATATTTTGCATTTTGAATTAAAATAAGGTACGTGCCATAATTAAAAAAATCGAGCAAACAATTTTTTCTGATATTCATATATGGTTAGATAAAGCTCATCAAGCTCTACAAGAATACATGTGTTTATACATGCTTTCGGTGATAAAATCTCGAATTTTCTCTATTTATCAAAATATTTTTCGTTTTTGAATAAGATTTTCTGTTTTTTTTCGCTTTGCTTGTTACTTTAGAAATTCGAAGGGCTGTTTTTGTTTTTGAATATAGTATCTATAAACATGAATTAATCTATGTTTCTAGATGCTGTATTCAAAAAAAAAATAGTCTTTCGAATTTTTCAAATAATATGTATAGTGAAAAAATAAGGAAATCTTATTAAAAATGACGAGCATTTTGTTCAATACAGAAAATTTAAGATTTGATCAAAGAGAGAGTATATGAATACAGATAGTCTTCTAGAGCTGAACGAGTTTTATTCAATCATATAGATAAATATCGCAAAGATTTCTTGTTCAATTTTTGAACTACGCATAAATTTTCTGAATGTTTTTGTTTTACAAGATTAACGTTTATGAACCGATGAAAAGCAGCAATAGCTTGTTCAGAAGTAGCAATCAAATATTTAACTTCATCGATCGGTTCATCAGGCTTATCATTTTTATATACAACCTTAATTATAAAAAGACAAAAGAAAAGTAGTTAACTTTTGTTCGAAATCAAATCTTAATAATATATTTCATAAAGTTCTTCGTTGAACTGACTTAATTGAGCTACTTCTTGCATAATATCTTTACGCATAAAAAATGGTGTATAGAGTATTTCAAATCCTTTATCATTCAACACGCGCAAAGCTAATTGAATGATAGTCTGTTCAAGAAATACAGCAGGACCCTAGCAAAAACGAAACGACAACAATAAAAACAACAACAATATTTTATTCTTAAAAGGTTTTTTTGCTTTTGAAACCTTCATAAAATAGCCTCGAGATCCTGCTATTAATGCTCCCCGCTCACTGTCATAACCGTCGATCATATGAATAAGATCAATATGAGAATATATTTTACGTATATAACAATCACCAAATATACGTTCGATCTTATTGAAATCCTACAATGAAGATTGTAAAAAGACATGTTGAAATATGGCAAAATGTATATTTTACTTCATTATCGCTGATAGGCACCGATTCATGAACAAGATTACCAATTTCATATAAGGCCATATTTCGTTCATTTTCAATTTTAATCAATTTTTCTTTTATTTTTTCAATTTCTGTATCGATCAATGTACTCAGTCGTATTATTTGTTTAATTATTAATTTAGCTAAAAATTCTGCATTGATTATGTCAAGACTGATAGTAAAATCTTTGTTAAATTCTTCAGAATCACCATCATTTTCTTTTGCTTGTTTCTTTTCAGTCACTGTTCGACTAGATAAATTTTTAACTTTATTCCATGCATCGGCCTCATAACGAACCGTACGCCAGAGTTTATCATAAGCAATAACTTGATCGAGCAATTCGACATGTTTGTATCGTTTCTTCTGTGAATCACGTACAACTTGTGGGTCATAGTTTTTGTCTGCTCTAAATAAGTCGATATCGAGTACCATTTTATCGTTGATTGGATCTTTTTCGCTTATGAAATAATTATGATGATCTACAAACGATGCTTTAAATAGGACGTTTTACAAAGAATTGCTTCAACATAATTCTATTTAACGCAATAAAATAAATAACAGTGATATTTATTCTCGCAAGAGTCACTTCGTCCTTTGACTCATCTATTTACCTATTCTCCAACATACTTCACAATATAATTTATACAGAAAATCATTTTTGCCATTGTTGTCACTGTCACTACAAAATGTTCTGGTTGGTGGGAGTAGAAAAAGTCCCATGTCAATATAACACGTTGTTTATAGATACATGTATTGACATATTGATACAGTGGATGTATATATAATGACACATGTCCACATAGTGTACGCTATACGTATCGATTGTGTAATGGTAAACTGCCAACATGCCTGGTTGATCAATAGAAATAAAAAAAAAGAAAGAAGACGCGATCAGTATTAATCCTTTCATAGAATGCAGAAGAAATATTTTGCGCTCTGTCGTCTTCTTACATGACGAATAACATATGTGTTTCAAGAAAAAGAAGGGTTTGGATTTGGGTGTGGGTATCTCTCTTGTTTCACGTACATCTTACACCCACACCCAACCAAGCTGAAAACGAAAGTTTATTAGGATATGTTTTCCAACTTTTTATGTATAACAAAAGTTGAAATAGCTGTCAACGAATCATAACAGACGTCAATGGTGCAGCGGTAACACATTTGTCTCATAAGCAAAAGATCCAGGTGAGAATATTTCTTCAATTGCGTATTCAAATTTGCCATAGTTGTACTTTTGTATTGACAGGTTCTGTCTAATATTTGAACAGCGTCATTCGACTCCTGGTTGGCGTTGATTATTTTTTCCTGAAAAAGTTTGTAATATGCTGCGCAATATGTTCCTTGTGTGTGTGTTGCAATACACTTCGAAAGAGAGAGTAAAAAGAAGTATGCTCTGTTCTGTTTTTTTATAAATTGCATTCAAACTTTTTATGCACAGTCGAAATTCTATAAGATTTCAAAATATAAATATTGTTCTGCCATAAATGACTTTATTGTAATGAATCAATTGATGTTTTATAGGTTTCTGAGTCTATGCTCAATGTAATAAGTAGCTGCTTCGACTATCCGTACAGTATCTTTAAAATCTTCTAACTAGAAGCAGCGTCAATGTTGTAGCGGTAATCATTGTTGCTTGCCAGGTAACAGATCCAGGTTCAAATCCTGATTGGCGCATCTTTTTCTTCATCTCTTTTTCTCTTATCTGTATGTTACGCAATATTTTTGTAGAATTATAGTCGCAATTTAATAATATAATCCGAAATGAAAACCTGATAGGTAATGTTCTCTGTTTTATTTTCATTGATTACTTTTCGTGAAAGACTATCATAGTAATAACGTTGGATGAAATAATTATTATTCGACGGGTGATACTTGAAATAAATGCTTGATCATTTGAAAATATTCTTTTTTTTTAAATAGAGTATCGACTTAATCAAGCCGATATTCTTTCTAACGAATGTAGTGTTCCTCACACAATGCAAAATGATAAAGTAAACGTATTTTTATTTTGTCTCAGCGATAGTTGAATGTTTTTTTTTTGAAAAACACAAGAAATTATTATAATTAAGCAAGCAATGATTTATCTGTGATCAAAAAACGCTTACGGCTAATGCATTTCAATTGGTTGTGAAATTACACAATATACACTGTTAGTGTTGTACCATTTCTTGTCTTTCTTACTCAACGCATAGCATTGTGAAACAGAATCAAAGCATTGACAAGTTTAATAATATACTTCGTTTATAGGATACTTTTTACACTATTCGGCACTAAAACAAAATAAAACTCATTTAGTTTATTCTCAAGTAAGTCAAACAAGATTTTTATTTTATTCTGCATATGTTGTCCTTAATTTTGGTAAAAGAACACATGTGGATAAGCATAAAACAATTCCATCGTTGATGTAACATTGATAATAGACGAATAATGAAATCAATTGATTTGAATAAGAAGCTTAAAGGATTCACAACAGAAGTAAAATAGCTAAAGGATGCTTTAAATGAATAGGCGTGTACCTTGAAATTTTCTAACAGAGAAGAGGTTAGCATTCTAAGAAAAGAACTCTGATCCATGGTGATGTTCCTATTTAAAAATTATTCTAGTCTAAGACTTTTCTGTTAACTTCAGACATCGTTGAGACTTTATGTCTATTCGTTTAATCATTGTAAGTAAGCGAAAAATCTCGAATGTTTTCGCTGTCTATATCATGTGAGATATCAAATTTGAAGGATAATGCTATTTTTCTCCTCAATTTCCGATTGTACTCATCGCGTTTGGAATGGAACTAGTTCACTGTGATAGTTTTACTGTAAAATTTGAACTTCTGAAATATGAATATTGATTTAAATACTTCAAAACTCAGAATACGAGATACTCGAATGAATCAAGCTATCACAATGAAATTTCTAAACTTTTTACTTTCCTATTATGATTCACGCAATGATTTCAATTTTTGAACAGAAAACGATTTAGTTTTTCAGAAAATTCCACGATAATTCTATTCACTATGTCAGTAGAATTTATTTCGATAATGTGATAGATTTCTTTATCTAGCTCATTTTATACAATGACGTCTATTAATTTCAATACGCAACTGAATTAAGTAATTTTTGTAGTTAGGTGCTTAACTTGATATTACTTTTCTCTACTGATATATGAAAGTTCATAATTTTCATTTGTCGAAACTATTATTATTATTTCCTTCTTCGTTCAACATGGTGAAAATCTCTAGGAACGCTTAAGGATTTTAATAAATCTTGACTCACAAAGTATCTTTCGGATTATAAGTTTTTAGGACAATGTCTGTAAACTCGTCGGATACAACTATGAAACAAGTGAATTATATTGCTTTCAGAACTAGAGAACTTGAACTAATTACTTTTATAAAAGTCTCAGAAGTGGCTATTCTGAACAAAAATTAGAGCTTCTAGTAGAGAATGAGATTAAATGTTAATTTACTCAACTTCGAAGTATTCAACTTGAAAATAGTTTAGTTCAATATTCTTATTCGAATGTCACGATTAAAATAATGTCTCATATTTTTTTAAAGCGCAAAAAGCATATATTGGGGTATGGGTGTGAGTTTGGGTGTGGGTTTCATCGCCTCCTTCATCAATACCCACCCACACCCATCTTACTATCATCTTATTCTAGCCCATAAAATCTGCTTGTGTTTCAACTGAAAATCTTTCGTGCAATATCGACATTCACCATCTCTCGACCATATAGGTGTTGTTAGAGCATCAATAAATCGCATGTCCACGTCCTATTACATAGTGATAACAACGTATTTCATTAAACTTTACATGACTAAAACCTCAAATTAGTTTGAATTGTTTAGAGAATATTCAGTCAATTTAGAGTGACAATCAAACGAATAAACTTTGTGTGAATCAATACATGTAAATGTTCAAGAAAAATATACGCGCAAGTTTTTAAGCAGTCTGATCATCAATTTTTTATAGTTAAATATCTCGATTTTCCAATCGTGTTTCAAATTCAACATTCTTTTAATTTTTTTTTATTATTAGAAAGTAAAATCACACGACCCTGTCGGTCCTAAAGGGTCAATGTAGCTTTTACAATTAACAGATTACACATAAGAAAGAAAAGCAAGCATAAGTGGAGCAGAATATTATGCATGTCTTATGTGGCTATTCAACGAAATATTGAAACATGACCTTCCAACATTATGTGTAGACATATTACTTGTACAGTAAGATCATAGCCAGTAAACTTATCAGTGTGCTTTGTTAGGGGAGGAGAAACCGAATCTCATACGCTCTGGATCCAAATCAGAGACGTACCCCATTCAACCAAGGCTTCCCAAATGTTTTTTAATATGAATGATTAAATTCGTGCTCTCTATAATTGAACGATATACAGAAAGTTTAATCCTTTACTCCCACAGCGGTTCCAGAAGAGCCACCAATAAAATAATTATACGAATAGAGTACTAGCGTACCTATGCGATTTGATTCACTGAATCTCTATCTCTTCGTATGGCACCATTTAGTTGATTGGTTAACTGTGTGATGGAACAAATTTGTTAAGCGTGGATTTGTTTTTTCTTTAACTACGTTATTCAATGAGCAAAAGTAACATACATCGTATCTTATTGGAGTAATGAAAAACGTAGGGAATAAAACGATAAATATTGATGTCAAAAGAATGTATGTGATTTTAGCAGATTTTCTTAAATAGGTATCTACTTTGTTTCCAACAGTTTAATAAATTCTGAAGGCATTCAATTCAAAAAAAAACGATACTATCCTAACTTCTTATGCGATGAGGTTTATAATACACATATTACCTTTTCACTTAATTGTCCTTAAGATGCCCCATAATTATCGCGATCTATCCAAAGCATATCTAACTACTAGTAGATAGTTCCATCAATTTATGTCACATAGAAAATCCAAAAGATCCTTATCTACTGTAATTAGAGAACGATTTGTTTCGAAAAATTCTTTTTTTTTCTGAAATTATCGATCTTGTTGACGCAATATTTCAAAGATAGAACAATGAAAAAATATTCTTTTTATCAATCGATAACTCATAGAGTTCACTACAATAAATGTTCTTACGGTTTTCAAATTCTATGCTTCCTTTATTTTCTGCAATAATTCTACAAAATGGCAATTCAAATTGCCAATGGAAGGAAAAGGATTAATGCATTTTTCAAAGAGAAAAAATCTCGATTTCGAGTAGAGATAGAAATTTTTTCATCAATAAATTATTTATTGTCGAACAAAAACGAAAGTCTTTTAAAAACAATTTAAAAAAAAAGGAAAAAAATCTCACTAGTTGATAGTTTAACGTTTCCAAATAGATAATTCTGGTACATTTAGTGAATCATATTTAACATGAAAATTAAATTTTTGTCTAACCGATAATTGTTGAAGTAAAGAATAAACAGATCTATAGTTAGATGTTGATGACATATAAATATGTATAACTAGTAGTTTTGGAAATTGATTTAATAAAAAATTAATTTGTTTTCCATCATTAATATTACATCTAATTTGTTCAATATTTTTAAATATTGTATGAAACATTATCATTTCTTCAAAACTATTAAATGAACAATGATTGTATCTATATATATTTAATATATTAATCTTTTTCATTAAGTATTCACATAATTCATCATTACTATATAACGATATTAATATTGCTGGATCAATTTTTATTGATGATAATTTAGATGATTCTTTTACTAATTCTAATAATTTTTCTGATGAAATCATACTTTTATATTTTGAAATATCTAAATGTTTTAATTTTGATAAATTAATCATGATTTTTAAACAATGAATCAAATCAATTGGTTCAAATGAACTATCAATAATTACATCTGAACAAACTAATGTCAATGAAGTAACATTTGGAAAATTATATGAATATTTATCTGTTATTGATTGATGAGTTAACGTAAGTTTAGTTATTCTATTGAATAGATTTATGTTATGAGAATCTGTATGATAATGCATGATAGTATTCGGTTTCATTTCAAATGTCTTTGTTAAATAAGGCACAGTATAAATACATATCGAATGTTGATCCGATTGTATTTGTGTATACCAATTATGTTTTTTAATCCAAAATTGACTTTGAAAAAAAGCCATCCTTTTCAAACATATTTCAATATTATTTGTACTCTTTTTCAGACCGAATTTGAATTTAAAAGTACTTAAATAAGGTAATGAAGATTGAATTAAATATTGCCAATGTAATGCATTAATCATAGTTAGATTATTAATCGTAGATATTGTTAAACTTTTTATATTTAGTATTTGTTTAGCAAATATTGAAAAATCTTGAAAATTATATTTAAATTCACCAATAATTAATTTTTCTAGATGAATAGCATCATATTTATCAAGATTATTTAATGATCGATTATATTTGGAAAGATATTCGACATTGAGGTATTTCAACATAGGTACATATTGAAATAATTGATATTGTAATTGAGATAAAGAACAATTAAAAATCGTCAAATGTGTTATTATTGTAGGTTGTTGAATATGTATTAAAAATGATCGTAATGAAAGCATTGATAATTTTTGTAATTTAGATAATGAAAGAACAGATATAATTTCATCTTCATCAATTTGTGAAGCAATTAAATCAATAAAGAATAAATTAGTTGATAATGGTAACATTGATTTTAATTTAATGATATTTTCTTTTTCAACATAAGTTAAAGTTAATCTTTGTAGACGAGATAAATCATTAGGTGCAAAATTTGATAAAAATGTATCAATTTGACCACATGTCTCTTTATTTGATAAATGTAATGAATAAATTCGTTGTTTTATTTCTGGAAATGACAATAGAGTTTGACAGAAATTATCAACGGCTCCTTTGCGCACATAACTGAAATCGAGATTCAGTGCTAAATTTCTAATAAGTTTATTAAAACGATTGTTTAATCCATCAAATGAATAATATATGTGAAATATATGTATAAATTCGAAACATTCGATTATTACTTCATTTGGTAATAATTCAAATTTTGAGATTTTCATCATTATTCTTCAATAATTATTGAGTATTTCTCATGTCTTTTGTTCTATGCACTATTGACAAAGGAATGTCTTTTATTATTAGAACAAAGAACACTTACTGCATACATTCATTGTTCATTTTGAAAAAAAAGATATATTTGATAGTTTTTTATTTAAATTTTTTTTCTGATTAATTTATATATAAATCAAAAGATTTCTTAGTGATGATGATTTGACTACCGATAGATAACGCTAGTAGTGTAGCTGTCAGGAAGCAATTGGATTAAGTACACTATTTCCTTATCTGTTATTCGTATCAGCGGAATAGAAACAATTAATTATACTTTTTTTCGTCAAAGTTGTTGAAATTAAGACAAATACATAGGGAGATAACTTGTCATTTGCTCTTTCATAAACGATAAAAATTTTTCTTCGGTATTTCCTTTTTTCGGAAAAACGCTCAAGACTTTTGACAACCTCTATTAAAAAAACAGCGGTTTTTGAAAAAATCCAAGAGCTTTTTTTCTCAAAGTTGTAGTCGAACGACGTATCACCAGTCAAAATGAACTGCAATAAGATATAAAGTCAAATATTTTTTTTTGGTTTTAAAGAGCATCAAAAACTGCTGTGCCTATGAGAGCCTTTTTTTGATAAAGGTTTGCTATTATAAAAAAAAAGGGCCCTCATAGGCACTGCATTCTGACATGCTCTTTCAAATGAAAAACAATTAACCATATTGAATGAACGTCCATAGAGATTTTTTGGAGACGTAAGCTATTTTTTGACCCTCGTTTGATTTGTATTTACATTATACATCTGGATAAGATGGTGAAAATTTTACCACAGATGTCCTTTTACACCCGCAACATATCCTCAAAGCAGGGATATTCCAAAGCTTCCAACTTTGGGGGGGAGGAATTTTTTTTGCTTGCAAAACTAATATTTTTTAATTATTGGGGAGGGGGGGGGGTGGTTCTCCCCTCGGGTCGGGACACCTCTGCCTCAAAGTTCCATGGCATATCGATGTTCTTGAACTGAGATCGATTTGTGAAGGAGAAGGGGGAGCTTAAAATCGAAATCTCACATACAAAAACCAAGTATGTAAATTAGTAAGCTGGCAATTTGCATGATATAAAAGAAAAGAACTGAATTTTAAAATAATTTTTCATACGGAAAATATATTCGAGTGGTCTGCTGTTACATAAACACTAACACTCACTCGTCTTTCTTTTGTTAAATGATTACTTTTCTGTGAGATTTTTCGTCAATGGAAAATAATCACTATACATACATAAAGGAGAAAGAAGATTATTCAAATTTGTATTTTCTACTTATTTTCTTCGTTCATTTATTGGTTTCAAATCCCTCTTCGATTTTGATTCTTGTTCGTTTCCAGAGGCATGGTCTTGGTTTTCATACACTATCGACATAATTGGATAATCGTCGATCGAATAGCCTAATGTTATCTGTTAGAAGAGTGTGAGTATGTGTTTCTAATGATAACCACACACACACCCTAACTTATTCGAATAGTCAACTCTATCTCACATTTAGTTGAATTATATACGAGAAAAAAGCACATTTATCCATACTCTCTTCCCATTGATGCAGACATGAAAACTTTTGTTCGGAGATAATTTCTTCAATATCATCGTTTTTTTAGCTCATTTCTTGATTAATTTTTCACCAGATTCACTATCTTATCCCGATCTGATTGTCTGTCCATGTAGAGATATCTTTATACGTTGAAAATAAAAACAGTACATAAGTCACTTTATTTTTCTGAAATATATCGATGATATGTTTGGTTCTTTTATTTGTAATCATATTCCATTGAAGAATCAATGTGACTAATTTCTGATTGAATGTCAGGCGATACGGATGACAAAGATAAAGAGAAAAATTAGATCATCTTGTTATTTTGTTAAGCTACAGAAAACGAAGTTTACTCTAATTTTCTGTACAAAAAAAAACAGAAGCAAACTTTCAGAATTTTGAACTATCTAAATTAATTTTCAAGAAAATTCGACTTAAAAACTTGAAATTTAGCTGAAAATATACTTAAAAAATTGAGATACGTACAAAAAATATATTTCTATTTGTCTGAGATATCTCCAATTTCATGTAGAGAGTGAGACGATGTTTTCTACTTCGGTAAAAATCTTTTCTTCAAAATATTTAATAATGCACTGAGTAAAATTAATCATATGAGATTTGACTGTAATAGAGTTTATGTGAGTCTTACCAATGGTCAAAACAACACACCTTCTTGCATTCTTCTAACTCAGAATCTGATGAGACAATGAAAGATTTTACTGGCCTTCTCGCCAAGATATAAGAGCTTGCCAATGTCTTTAAATTATTTAAGTAGAAAAACCTCAAGATACGATAGAGATCTTTTCAGTCTTTGTTTGATTTAAGGACATGCTAAAGAACTAAAAATTTCATCATAGTCATGATTCACCAACCCCAACATATCTTCAAAAATTTTCTGCACTTTGGATGCTCGTGAACTCAAATCAATTTTTAAGGAGTTTAACCGAAATTTAGAGACAGAAAATGAATTTTTATTCTCGTACAATGAAAATAACGTTTGTCTATTTTATTATAAAATTTTTCAATAAAATAGAAAGAATATTCTATACAGGGTGTTCCAAAAGTCCGGACGGAAAGTTAATTCAAATATCTCTAATACAACTCAAGTGATTTAATCGATTTTTTTATAATATGTTAGTCTGTTTTTTAAAGCTTTATTTCGTATGTTTTCAGATAAATATCTGTGCCTATACACATTAGAATTAAAATAGTTTTATTAGTGACCAAATTTGAGTTACCTATCGTTATGAAAGGAAAAATGCATGTCGAATTTGGCATGGAAACGCTTGACATAGACTTTACTATTGATACTTTCCAAGGCTTTCGCGATATGAGTATACTGGTAAATACATAACAATCGGAAAGATCTTCAAAAATTACAGAACAGAAAATCCGCGAATTTTATGAGAATTGTGAAAATATGCCAGTATCGAGTATTCGGTTTGTGGCAATAGCCTGCTTCATTCTATGAACAATAGCAGGCCGAATTATCACTGAATATCAACTAATGAACCCATGCAGGGTGTAATTTGTCGTACAACTTCATGAAGAATATTCGCAAGACCGAGTTGAAATTATATCACTTTGATCCACACGTTACAAAATATCCACAATCAGGAGAGCTCTTTTTTTTCAGACAAAGATTCTTTTCATTTAAATGGCTTATCGATAAATATAAAGTGAACATCTATGTGTGTAAAATATATATAAAGATTTGGTTATATTCAAAACAAGGAACGATACAAAAAAGAACTTAATTCGAAAATAAATTTCCTGCAATATGTTTTTAAAGATTTCGAAAACGATAGATTTATGTATTTGAGTTGGGCGTAACCATTTTGAACATTCGAGTTGTATAAGAGATCTTTAAGTTAACTTTCCGTCCAGACTTTTGAAACACCCTATATATTTATAAAAAAATTTTTTTTCTCAGAATTAATTATATGTTATTTGTTTAATTGATATAACGGCGTGACCATACGTTACGGATTTTCATATTTTTTCACTTTGCAAGATCAGTAGCTTCTCAAAAATAAAAGCAAACTTTCTGAAATATTTTTCATAGATAGAGATGACTGAGATCTATTACCAGTAAGAATTTTATCGATTTCTGTCTAGCCATAGCTGAATTATTCAACAAATATTGACCATTGTAGAATTTTTTTAGGGTGACCTGGAACTTAAGCATTTTACTACGTAACGAAGCGACATACAAATAACGTTACTCAGTTTTCCATGAGCTGTCAGAATATCGATCAATTCATTTCATAAAAAACATAACTGCACCAAATAAAAAAACCTGTAAATACTGTCTGTTACAAAATTTCGTTCTTTTTTTATCTTCTAATGGGAACGATTAAAGATCCAAAAGCTTTCAATTATTGCAGTGAAAACCCATCATTTTTCGTATTCATGAGTAGTACATATCGTCCAATTACATCAGTTTCACCTGCAAAGCGGAATAAAATTAGAACTTCTGTCTGTTTTTTGAGCAAAAAACATGAAATATAACGGGACTCAGAAAGGATTATTTTTTAATGAAATTCTTCAAAAAAAAACTCTTTTCAGACACTTATCGAAGCAAAAATACGATTTATATAACTAATCAACAATGAATTTTAGAGATCGCGGCGTGTTTCATAATATAGGTATAAACTTTCTCCATGCTAGGCTGACCGATGAGTGACCATGCCGAAAAGTAAAATTTAATCAATCCAAATGCATATATCTGCTTTATGCATCTCATAAGCTACATAATCATATTCTATCTCATATATAATGTTCATATTTGATATAACATCTTTAAAGTTATTAATAAAATTTTCATCAGTCAATAATAATACAACAGCAGATACCCAGTGAAAAATTTTGGCGATTTTCAATCGGATTTTTCTGCAACAAAATCAAAATTAAAATCGATTGATAATTTTGATTATTGTTGATCCTGACTTAACTATTTTTTGATGTTGTTCCTTGTCCTGTATGAAAGTTTCTGATTAAAATCGAATTATTTTGCAGTTAATCGAAATTATTAATCGATTGATAATCATGATTTTGCATCCAGTAATCCGATTTCAATCAGAAAATTTCATACAGGATAAGAAACAACATAAAAAACTAGTTAAGTCAGGATCAACAATAATCAAAATTATCAATCGATTTTAATTTTGATTTTGTTGCAGAAAAATCCGATTGAAAATTATCGAAATTTTTCACTGGGTAAAAATGATAATTTTGTTAAGGG